CAAAGTGCTGAGATTACAGGCTTGAGCCACCACGCCCGGCCAACCCTGAGATTTTTACTGTATGAGGATATATTCTGAAAAGTAAACAAGCCAAGTTAGTGGGAATTAGTTTTGTTAAAAATTGCATTTATGAACTGTTGCTTTTAGCTGCATCATTGACAAAAATGATCCCTATTAATTTTTTAAGGTCTGGAACAAAAAGAATGCAAATGAAAAAGGAAGAAGTCAGACTTCTAAGCTTCCTCCAAGATTTGCCAAAAAACAGGCTACAGGGATCCAGCAAGCACAGTCTTCACCCTCAATTCCACCCCTAGCTTCAGCTCCACTTCCACCTTCAACCTTAGCTTCAGCTTCAGCCTCAACCTCAGCTCCAGTTCCAGCAACCTTAACTCCAGTTCCAGCCTCAACCTCAGCTCCAGTTACTGCCTCAACTTTAGCTCCAATTCTGGCCTCAACCTCAGCTCCAGTTCAAGCCTCACCCTTAGCTCCAGTTTCAGCCTCAGCCTCAGTCTCAGCTTCAGCTCCAGCTTCTACATCAGCTGCAGCTATAACCTCTTCTTCAGCTCCAGCCTCAGCCCCAGCTCCAACCCCCATCCTTGCCTCAGTTTCAACCCCAGCTTCTGTCCCCATTCTTGCCTCAGCCTCTATTCCCATTCTTGCTTCAGCCCTAGCACCAACTTCAGCTCCAGCGTCAGCCCCGGCAGCCTCTTCCCCAGCTGCCCCAATCATCACAGCACCAGCTGTCCCAGCCTCAGCCCCAGCCGCCTCAGTCTCACTTGTTCCTGCCTCAGCTTCCGCCCCAGCCCCAGCCCCTACCCCAGTCTCAGCCTCAACTCCTGCCCCTTCTGCCCCAGCCCAGACTCAAGCACAGACCCACAAACCAGTCCAGAATCCACTACAGACTGCATCACAGTCTTCAAAACAGCCACCACCATCAATTAGGCTGCCTTCAGCTCAAACACCTAATGGTACAGATTATGTAGCCACAGGAAAATCCATCCAGACCCCACAGTCACATGGCACTCTGACAGCTGAATTATGGGATAACAAGGTGGCCCCACCAGCTGTGCTGAATGATATCTCTAAGAAATGTAAGTGTGCAAATGAGAAATGAGGGGCGGGGAATGGCATGGGAATACTGAGGGTTCTTTTCAATTAAATTTGTATACCCATTAAGTGTTTTCTAGACATCGTTTTTTATTGTAGGAAAAAGTAGTAATCCTCTCTTAACTTTCTTAAAATTTTTGTTTTAAGTATGTTTAACAAGCATTTTATGGAAATAATTTTGTGTTGATGAGAAAATAATAGGCAATGTTTGAGGGGGGCTTGTCCATGCATACCTCATGTGATTACACTTTGTGGACACTGCATTTTTAACAAATTAAAAGTTCATGGTAACTGTGTCAAGCAAGTCTTTTGGTATCACTTTTCCAATAGCATGTGCTCCTTTCATGTTCCATGTCACATTTTGGTCATTCTTGCAATATGTTAAATTTTTCATCATTTATCTGTTAGGGTTGTCAGTTAGTTATCTTTGATATTGTCAGTTTCAGGGTACCATGAACACCCAAATAAGATGGTAAACTTAACTGATAAATGTTTTATGTGTTCTGACCACTCCATTGACCAGCTGTTCCCTGATCTCTACTTCTTCTTGACCTCTCTATTCTCTAAGAACACAACAATATTGAAATTAGGCCAATTAATAACCCTCTAGTGGCCTCTAAGTATTCAAGTGGATGGAAGACTAACGTACGTCTCACTTTAAATGCTGGAAATAGTTAAGCTTAGTGAAGAAGGCATGGTGAAAGTCAAGATAAGTCAAAAGTTAAGTGCTACTTCAGTAGTCAGCACTAGTGATAAGAAAGTAAAACAGCCTTTTTGCAGATACAAAATTTTAGTGGTCTGGAGAGCAGATCAATCCAGCTGCTCTCAATTCCCTTAAACCACAGCCTAATCCAAAGCAAATCCCATATCTCTATTCAATGCTGTGATACCTGAGAGAGGTGAGGAAGCTGCCAAAGAAAAGTTTGAAGCTAGCAGAGGTTGGTTCGTGGAGTTTAAGGAAAGCAGCATCTCTATTACATTAAAGTGCAAGGTAAAGCTGCAAGTTACCCAGAATATCCAAAGCTGAGAAATTGATAAAGGAGGCTACATTAAGTAATAAATTTTTAATGTAGACAAACAGCCTTGTATTGGAAGAAGATGCCATCTTAGGCCTTTCATGGCTATCGAGGAGAAGTCAACGCCTGACTTAAAAGGACAGGCTGGCTCTCTTGTTAAGGGCTAATGTATCTAGTGACTTGAAGCTGAAGCCAGTACTCATTTACCATGTTTAAAATCCTAGAGCCCTTAGAAAAGTATGCTAAATCTACTCTGCCTGTACTCTAGAAATGGAACAACAAAGCCTAGATGACATCACATCTGTTTACAAAATGGCATATCTAATTTTTTTTTTTTTTTTTTTTTTTAGACAGTGTTTCACTCTTGTTGCCCAGGCTGGAGTGTGGTGGCACAATCTCAGCTCACTGCAGCCTCTGCCTTCGGGTTGCAAGCAATTCTCCTGCCTCAGCCTCCTGAGTAGCTGGGACTATAGGGGCACGCACCACCACGCCTGCCTAATTTTGTATTTTTAGTAGAGACAGGCAGGGTTTTGCCTGGTTTGAGACCAGGCTGGTCTCAAACTCAATCCACTGTGCCTGGCCCATACATATTGTTTTTAAGCCCACTGTAGAGACCTACTGCTCGGGGGAAAAATACTCAAAAGCTTTCCTTCAAAATATGATAAGCTTGTGGACAGTGCACCTAGTCACCCTAGAGTTGTGAAGAAGATGTACAGGAAGGTTTATGTTTTCATACCTTCCAACATGGCATCCATTCTGCAGTCCATGGATCAAGAAGTATTTTGACTTTCAAGTCTTATTATTTAAGAAGTACATTTTGCCACAGTTTCCATAGACGGTGATTCCTCTGATGGATCTGGCCAAAGAAATTTGAAAACCATATGGAAATGATTTACCATTTTAGATTCCTTTAGGAACATTCATGATTCATGGGAGGATGTCAGAATATCAACATTAATAGGAGTTTGGAAGAAGTTGATTATAACTCTTATAGATGACTTGGAGGAATTCAAGACAATCAGTGGAGGAAATAACTGATGCAAAGAAAGTTGTTCCTTGTGATGAATCTACTCCTGGTGAAGAAGATGCTGTGGATCTAGACTATTTCATAAACTTAGTTGATTAAACAGCAATGGGATTTGAGACTGTTGACTCCAGTTTTGAAAGAAGTTCTGCTGTTTGGGTAAACAGCATCACATGCTACAGAGAAATGATTCATGAAAGGAAGAGTCAGTTGATGTTACAGATTTTATTATTATTTTAAGTAACTGCCACAGCCATGCTAGTTTCAGCAAACCCCATCCTGGTCAGTTAGCAGCCATCAACATTTCTACCGGCAAGACTCCACCAGCAAAAAAATTATGATTCAAAGGCTAAGATGATGATTAGCTTCTTTTTTAGCAATAGTTTTTTAAAAATTAAAGTACGTAACTTTTTTACTACATGATGCTATTACATATTAGACTGTAGTCTAATGCAAACATAACTTTGTTATGCACTAGGTAAACCAGAAAATTAGTGTGACTTGTTTTATTGCAATACTTTCTTTATTGCAGTGGTCTGGAACTGAACCCACAATATTCTGAGGTATGCCTGTATGTTGAAACATACGAATCTTTTTAAGTGTGATTTGAAAAGTGATTATAGTAGGAGATTAAGGAAAGGGTTAAATGGTTAGAGGTTATTAGACTGTAAATCTTAATGGTCATGTTTTTTATGGCTTCTTCTTTTCAGTAGGTCCCATTAGTCCACCACAGCCACCTTCAGTCAGTGCATGGAATAAGCCCTTAACATCGTTTGGATCAGCTGCATCATCAGAGGTAGGAATAGGCTTTTAACAACATTGATGGGGTCAATGTGCTGGGTTTTCCCTAAAACTTCAGTGTGACCGGGTGTGGTGGCTTACACCTGTAGTCCTAGCATGGTGGGAGGATTGCTTGAGTCCAAGAGTTCGAGACCAGCCTGGGAAACATAGTGAGACCCGCCCAGGCAACATAGCAAGATCCTGTCTCTACTAAACAACAACAAAAATATAGGCAGGTGTGGTAGCATGTGCTTGTAGTCTCAGCTACTCTGGGGCTGAGGTTGGACTATCACTTGAGGCTGGGAGGTCAAGGCTTCAGTAACGACATAACTGTGCCACTGTACTCCAGCCTAGGTGATAGAGCAAGACTCCATCTCGGAAGCAAAACAAAACTTTTAGCATGCCTCAGAATTAACCTGGAGGGCAGTTAAAACAGCTTGCTGAGCCCCTTGCCCATAGTTCATGATTTATCAGGTCTGGGTTGAGGTTTGAGTAAATTTCTAACAGTTTCCCTCTTGCTGCTACATCTTTACATTTATAAGATGTGCCTCACTTTTAGACATTAAACACTTGTTTTCAATCTTGTCTCAAGAAGGATCTTACGATACAGAAAATAAAGTGCAGTTACTGTTTTCTGGAGTTTACTCCCATGTTTCTATCTTGAGTAATTAAGTAGTGTAAGTACTTAGAAACTGTTTATAGCAGATTGTTATTCTAACATAATTTCTCAAACATTAAATTGGTAAATGACTGTTGGGGTCAGTGATTCTTCATTCATTGATTGAATGAACATTTATTAAGCACTCACAGTATTCTAGGCAGTGTTCTTACCCATGGGCTTACAAAACTGGGACTCAAAACAGTCAGAAAGCCCTACCCTCATGGGAACTTCAATTGTTGTATGAGGAGAAACCACTAATAAAAAAATAGCGTATGTTTAATGGTGATCAGTACTGTGGAGAAAAACGAAGCAGGAAAGGTACATAAAGAATTTTCCAAGGTGCACGAAGACAGTTAATGTAGGGTGACCACAAAAGCCTACTTAGATAATGCTTGAGTTAAGGATTTGAAGGAGATAAGAGAGCATGCTATTCAAATGTCTGAGGAAAAGAGATTCCAAGTTTAGCTAATAGCAAATATGAATGCTATGAGATAGGAGCATGCTTAGTTTATCTGAGGAAGTTCAGGGAAGTCCACGTGGCTGGAGTGAAGTAAGAGATAGAAAGAGAATAAATGAGGTTGGAGATCACACCTGAGTAGCAGGTGGATCCTGTAGCGCCTTTGGAAGAGGTAGGAAGACATTGGAGGGTTTTGAGCAAGGAGTGATAGGATCCGACTTTTAAAATTATTCTGGGTGGACCGTGAAAAATAATCTATAGGCGGCAAGAGTAGAAGTTAGGATATTTCAATAATTGAATGATGATAGTTTAAAACCTGGGAAGTGGCCTGAAAGGTCATAAGAAATAGTTGGTTCAGATTGAGCTAACAAGATTTACTAAAGTGTTAAATGTGGGGTATGAGAAGAGACAGAGGAGCCCAAGTTAGCGCCATAGTTTTTGAATTGAGCAGTAAGAAGTACTAGAATTTTCAGTAACTGAGATTGAAACACTATACATGGATCAGGTTCAGGGGGAAGATAAGGAGTTCAGTTTTTGACATGTTAGATTTAATATGCTTATTATACCTCTGAGCGGAAATGTCAAATAGGTAGTTGGATGTGAGTCTGTAGTTCAGAAGAGTTCATCTAGTTTGAAGATAGGAATTTGAATCATTAGCATATAGATGACGTTTAAAGTCATGGAATTGTATAAGGTTACCAAGGGAGAATGAATTATTAGAGTAGTTAGGAAAGGGAATAAAAAATTAAGTCTTGGGGCTTTCTAACTCTAGGAAATGTAGGACTTGGAGAAGCTGAGTGATTAGAGAAGTATCCTAAAAGGAAAGTGCAAGATAAGTTCAAAGGAGGGATAGATTTAGTGTGTCAGATGGCTGCTGGTAGGTCAAGTAATATAGGTGTTCAGTTGATAGTTGAAGTTATATAATGGTCACTGATGAGTTTGATATGAATATTATTGGTGAAATAGTAGGGATGAAAGCCTGGATGAAAGAGTGAGTTTAAGAGAAAATGAAACATGAGTACCATTGTTTCTCCATATCTGTGGAGATTGGTTCTCACCACCATAGAAACCAAAACCCAGGGATGCTCACGTCTCACATAAAATGAAGCAGTATTTGCATATAACCAGTGTGCATCCTCCCTATGTACTTAAATCATCTCTAGATTAATTATACACCTAACACAATGTAAATGCTATGTAAGTTGTTGTTACACCATATTATTTAGGGAATAATGACAAGAAAGAACATTCTGTATACTACTGACACAACCATTTATTATTTTTTTCTGAGTATTTTCCATCCATGTTGGGTTGAATCCACAGATGTAGAACCCACAAATAAGGAGAGCCAACTGTATATAGAAAGAACTTGAATGTCATTTTGCTAATAAAGGAGTACAGAAAAAATGGGGCAGTAGAAGAAGATACAATTGAGATTTTAATTTTTTTAATTTTAATTTTTGTATAGCCTACAGCTGCTAAAAGATTTTTAGTTTCTTTAAAGAAGTCTTCCTGGTACTTGTATCTCCACTCCAGTTTTCTGACTTAGTAGGTCTAGAGTAGGCCTCATCATCTGTTTTGATGTTACAGATTCTTCAGAGAACCCTGTACAGCTCAAGGGTCACTGCATTCAACATTTGAGAGTCTCAGTTTAATGCTTTGTCTTCTGCCTGTTGGTATTAGCATTATGATTAGCCACAGAGAGCATTTCAAGATTTTTCATACTGATATGAAGGACAGAATGAAAGTTTCTTTCAAACTGCAAGATTTTTCTTGCAACTATGCTACAAGTTTATAGTGATAAATGGGTGTTTGCACTTGCCTTCAGTCAGTGGTGGAGCAAGATATTTTAATGGTGTCTCCTTTTTCTATCATACTCTTTTCTTTGTTGTCTTTATGTTCTTTATATTTTCTGGATAGTTGATTTTTTGTGAATGTCTTACATGATTTTGAAGTTTCTCCTCATGATGAAATTTTGTGTTAGCAAAGTTGACATTTCATAGGATGGAAAGAATTCCCTAATGGAGCTTTTCTTAGATTATTCCAGTGAAATAGAGATCTTAATGGTTAAAGTTATCAATGCTAGTTACACAACTAGCCTTACTAAGACTTGATATATTATAATATTTTCTAAGCTTTTGTCATTTTTTTAATGTATATTTCATAAACACTTTTGTTTTGAAGGATATAACATTCTCTAATAGTCATTAACTCGACAGTTTTCTATTAAATATATACTTAACATTTTTGTTTATACAGTTAATAGCCTTCACGGTCTACTTACTGCATCATTTTCTTTTCTAATACTAACTGTACACTAAGCTGACTGTAGAATTTCAACATTGACTGAAGCAGAGAAATTTTTATTCCAATTTACATCAGTATTTGCCTATACATCCATGTGTTGCCTAATATCAGAGGTGTATCCTGAGAAATGGGTCATTGTGTGAACATTATAGAGTCTACTTACACAAACCTAAGTGGTATTGCCTACTGTATTCCAAGGCTATAGAGTATAGCCTGTGGCTCCTACGCTACAAATCTATACAGCATATTACTATACTGAATACTGTAGGCAGTTGTAACACAATTTTAAGTATTTGTTTGTTGAAGCATAGAAAAGGTATGGTAAAAATAACAGTATTATAATCTTATGAAACTACCCTTGTATATGTGGTCTGTCATTGGCAAAACATCACCATTTTATGGCACATGACTGTATTTGAAGGTGACTATTTAGATATTAGAAATAAATCTGAATTACATGCCTCGTTCATACTCTTGACATTACATCCTGGTAGATACAACATTAACCTTATGTAGTAATTGACCATTCTAGGTTTAGGAATGCCAAAAATGACATGGAGTAGTGATTCAATCACTCTTCTTTTTTTATTTTATTTTAATTTTTATTCTATTTTTATTTCGTATTTTGTGATTCAGTTATTAAAGCAAGCTGTAGTTTAATTTTGATCCTATTTTTGTTTTATATGTTTGTCTTTTCATGAAAAGATTGTTATAACAAAGCCCTAGGTCACCTAACCTCCTGCTTGTCTGTCTTCTACCACTGTTCTCCATACCTGCTGTGCTTCAGCCTCACTGACCTTTTTTGTTCTTGACCTTTACCCTAGGTATGTGGTCTCCCTAAACTCTTTCCACTCATCTTGTCTTTTAGATTCAGTGTCAGTGTGTCCTCCTCAGGGGCTTTCTCTGTCTAGCAGTCTAAAGTAACTGGTCTTTTAACCCTAATTTGTTTTTGCATATTCCTTCTCTGACTTTTTAGTTCCTTATTTACTTCACCTGCTAGAATGCAAATTGTGCAGTTATACTAATGCTACCATCTGATTAGCACAGAGAAGTTACTCAACAAATTAGCTTGGTTTTTGGATGGTTTGTTTTTGTTTGTTTGTTTGTTTGTTTGTTTGTTTTTTGGGGATACTTGCTCTGTCGCCCAGGCTGCAGTGCAGTGGCATGATTTTGGCTCACTGCAACTTCCGCCTTCTGGGTTCAAGCGATTCTCCTGCCTCAGCCTCCTAAGTAGCTGGGATTACAGGTGCACGCCACCACGCCTGACTAATTTTTGTGTTTTGAGTACAGATGGGGTTTCACGATGTTGGTCAGGCTGGTCTTGAACTGTTGACCTCATGATCCGCCAGCCTTGGCCTCCCAAAGTGCTGGGATTACGGGCGTGAGCCACTGTGCCCGGCCCAAATTAGCCGTTTATGGATTGATTGCTTAGATGTGTGCTCTACATTACCAATCACAAAGTTCTTTATTATATATCTCTTTAATTTTATTTTCAAAGCAGATTTCTGAGAAGTAGGTGACACTGTTATTACTGTCTTTTATTTCAAGTTCATTAATCTGTTTGTTGGTAGAGGTGTCTTTGTGTGTTGCTTTTACGTTTGTTTTAAATGAGGAAACAACTTGAAGTTGTGCTTTGCCTATGATCACATTCATGAGAGCCAGGACTTTAAAAACTCAAGTCTTGTCCTTGTTTCATTTTATCAGTTGTTTTCTAGCACAGATAAATAGCAGTTAAGATAAAATTATCATCCTAAAATATAATTAATGTCAGTCTCAGTTGACTTGTAGATTTCTTTAAACCTTCTATTGTACTTAAACTATATGGTGCTTCATAAATCAGTCACTTCTGAACTATGCTTGGCCAGCAAGTTTTCAAATATTCTTCTAGGGAGCGAAGAATGGTCAAGAAAGTGGACTCGAAATTGGAACTGACACAATTCAGTTTGGTGCTCCAGCTTCAAATGGAAATGAAAATGAAGTCATTCCTGTGCTTTTGGAAAAATCTACTGACAAGATCCCTGAACCTAAAGAACAGCGGCAGAAGCAGCCACGGGCAGGACCTATCAAAGCCCAGAAGGTAAATATACTTTATAATCCAGATAAAATTTTGCGAAGGCTACTGACACGAAGAGTAAATAATAGTTTTAAAATTGAACTTAGTTTTAATGAATGAATATCACTGATAGTGGTGCCATGATGAAAGATATTTATCATAAACATTGTTTTATCATAAACATTTGACTTTAGCTTCCAGATTTGAGTCCAGTAGAAAACAAAGAACATAAGCCTGGTCCCATTGGAAAGGAACGTTCATTAAAAAATAGAAAAGTAAAAGATGCCCAACAAGTGGAGCCAGAAGGACAAGAGAAAGCAAGTCCTGCTGCAGTCAGAAGCACAGATCCCGTCACGACAAAGGAAACTAAAGCAGTCTCAGAAATGTCTACTGAAATAGGAACAATGATCTCGGTATCATCTGCAGAATATGGTACCAATTCAAAGGTAAGCCACATATAGGGACTGCCAGTTCAATAGATGGAAACCATTTCTAAAATGAATGGGAAAAACAGCAACAGTATGCTTTTTTTTTTTTTTTTTTTTTTTTTTTTTTTTTTAATTCTTGATGAGGCGTGTAACTCTAGATTATTTTTACAAAGATTTTATTTCATGGTTTGCATGTGTAATCTAAAGAAATTCTTCATAGCAAATGTTTTATTTTTTTAGGAAATTTAAATTCTGGACTATTTGAGTAGCTTAAAGTGAAAAATGTCTACACAAAATCAGAATACTTTGAAAAATGGCTCAATATGACTTTTAATATATTAATAGAATTATAGTGGAACTTTGTCTTGCCCACTGGTGACATTCTAACACCAGGAAATAAGGCAGACTTTTAGTAACTCCAGTATAGCCAGTTTTCTTTCATAGTTGGAACAGATTACTGTTTCTTTGGTTGAGCACTATAGGATATTGACTCACATTTAGGGGCCACATTGAATGAAACGTGTATCTAAAAATACTTATTAAGACAAGATGTTGGTTGACTATGGGAACTGACACTTGTGGGAATAGCAAACATATCTGCCATCTTATGTTGACTCTGGGACATAAACTCAACTGAGAAAAAAGTTACATGTAATTTTTTTTATATCGTCTGAATATTATTCCTTTTTTAATTGCTGTAGGATTGAATTCATAAAAGTAATAGCTTATGTGGCCATATGCTACCATATTTCAAAATGAGATCTGTGACAATAAAGAAGGAGTGTACCCTAAAACCTAATTAATTGCAACAACGAAGGTTGTGGTAATTGATAGTAAGCTATAGAATGAATATGGGAAACACATAAAAGGTTCTTTTAAAAACCTAACTTATTTAAGATAACCCACAGAAATAAATATTTGATACTATTGACAGTCACCTAATACTAAATGCACAGGAATGCAGGAGTAGTTGAAATTATCCCATTGTTAGTTGATTAATAGAGTGAGTTGAGCCTTAAAGTCTGCTCTTTTCTCCTGCTTTCTTCCAAAACAACTTTATAACTATTAGACTATCATTAGAAAGTGAGCAATTTGGCCAGGCGTGGTGACTCATGCCTGTAATCTCAGCACTTTGGGGTCTGAGGCAGGCAGATCACTTGAGGCCAGGAGTTTGAGACCAGCCTGGCCAACATGGCAAGACCCCATCTCTACTAAAAATACAAAAATTAGCTGGGCATAGCGGCACACACGTGTAATCCCAGCTTCTTCTGTGACCAAGGCACAAGAATCACTTGAGCCTGGCAGGCAGAGGTTGCAGTGAGGTGGAGATTGTGCCACTGCACTGTAGCCTGTGTGACTGCAAGACTCAAAAAAAAAAAAAAAAAAAGTGAGCAATTAATTCAGTTTCACATGTATTTTTTTTTTTTCTATTACTGCTTCACAGGAGTCTGTAACAGACTATACTACACCTTCTTCTTCTCTGCCTAACACTGTGGCTACTAATAATACAAAGATGGAAGATACTTTGGTTAATAATGTAAGTAATCAGTTTGAGATGTGGCAAGTTTGGTTAGGAACCTGGCTATTGTTATCTAGTATATTATTTCATGTTTTATTTACTGTAGTGGTCAGTATTTAACTCAGAGAAAGAGTTTTTAGTAAATTTGTTATTAGGAGCACTGTAATGTAATTAGCAAAAATAGTCAAGGCTGAGTTTTTTATTTTTCCTCTGAAGCCATCTGCTTTCCATTTAAGATGAAGACTTGTGGTAGGTAGGCTTTTTTTCATAAATACTAATCTTATTAACCTGGTATTGGTAAGAATTTTTTTTAGCTCTCACATTTTACAAATTCAACATCAATCGTTGATGATTTTGTTCTTACACAAAACCTTTTTGTAATTCAGTGAAACCTAACTTATTTAAGATGACTAAAAATTAAAACCACAACTATAGAATTCCCAAAGAATCAAGTGTGTCTTTAAAAAAGGGGGAAAAAACCACAGTGTGTTAACAACATTCTTGTTGTATAGATTGAGCTATAATGTATTGTATACATAAGTACGCCACTCACTCTGAGATGCTCTAATTTAAGATGATGTTAAGTCATGTTGTAACTTAGGACCTAGTTTTCCAGAGCAACCATGTTACTAATATAATTCAAGGTTGTGTTAAAAAGTCTGCACAGTTCATCATTTTGCTTAGCTCACTGACTGACAGATGAAAAACTGTCAGCCCAGAAACATTAGGTAGCTTGCGGTAGTTTATACAGTGTCATTTATTGAGAAGAACATTTTAGAAGTTATTTGTATGGTCCTTATTTTGGAGGTCAGGTGTGATAGAAATGTGGTTAGTGTTCTCTGTTTTAAATATAGCCTGCTATAATAAGCAAAGGCTATCAGGCTAAAATGTTGATCATCCTTTTCAAAAGAAAATCCTTTACAGATAAATATTTAAAGGTCTGTCACAAAGAGCTTTAACTATCATTTTGAGTATAAAAATCTTTATTATCTTCTTACTTTTTTTCTATGCTTTCTATTCTTCCCTCTAGCATCAAGTATATGGAATTTTAGAAAGGTGAGCTGCATTAGGAGTCACTTAATCCAATTTTTGTAGTTCAGCTGAAGGACTGTACTAAATATGAGAAAAAGAATAGAAAGGAATGAGTCACACATTTTTTCTTGGTGTTGAGAGCTGTCTAGGAGCTGATTAATGTGGTTTGTTCAACTTTCCTCCCCATTCCCCCCCCACCACCTTTATGAGAGTGGTTTAAATATAAATATATTTTTTTCTTTTTTGAACTTCTTATACGTCCTTGTGGAAAATAATGGAAGACTTGGGAAGGAGAAAGACTTCCTTTCAGTTTAAGTGCCGTGATGTCACTGTCTAGATTATCAAATATTCAATCAGTAAGATCTCAGTACTAAGTTTAATCATACTTTGTGTCTTTTCTCATTTAAAAAAATATATATAGAATATTTCTATGATAGTAATTTTTAAAGAAAGTATTTGATGCTTTTTGCCAAACTACCCTCTCAAAATATGATTTATAAAATATGAATAAGGAAGAAAAAGTTATTATTCTCAGAACTCTTAAAAATTCATTGAAAATATCCAGATGAGCATTTTGATGGTTTCTGTGTGATCTATAAGGCTACTAATGGAGCGACTTATATACTGATAACTACTGAGAGCAAGAGACCCAGCCTCGTGTATAGGTGAATAGTCTGCATGCTGTTGTTAGCAGTGTAGCCAGGGTATATTTGAAAGCAGAAAGATCAGTTTGGGTCAGGGAGCTTTATAAATGGTCATCAGTTTAGAAAGATTTCACAGTCTTGCTTATTTGTGCCAAGTGTGTTGGTGATTCTGAACTCAATGTAGTGTTAAAAACAAATACATTACGTGGAAAAACATTTAGGACCTCTTGGGATGTCCTTTTTTATTTCATTCATCTGTTTGGGGATTTTATTTTATTTATTTATTTATTTAAGAGATGGGGTTTCACCATATTGGCCAGGTTGGTCTTGAACTCCTGACCTCAGGTGATCCGCCTGCCTCGGCTTCTCAAAGTGCTGGGATTACAGGTGTGAGCCACCGTGCCTGGCCCGGGGGTTTCGTTTTATATATAGAACTTTTCTCTTTTTTCTTTTTTTCTCTTGAGGTGGAGTCTTGCTCTGTCGCCGAAGCTGGAGTGCAGTGGCATGATCTCGGTTCACTGTAACCTCCGCTTCTCGGGTTCAAGTGATTCTCTTGTCTCAGCCTCCTGAGTAGCTGGGATTACAGGCGCCCACCACCACACCCGGCTAATTTTTTTGTATTTTTAGTAGAGATGGGGTTTTGCCATGTTGGCCAGACTAGTCTTGAACTCCTGACCTCAGTTGATCTGCCTGCCTCAGCCTCCCAAAGTGCTGGGATTACAGGCATGAGTCTCTGCGCCTGGTCAGAACTTTTGTCTTTTTTTTAAAAAATCATATTTGAAAATTGCTTATTTCTTTTATTGAGGCTTAATACACTTTCTTTTTGCAGTCTTAACTGATGCATGTTGGTTAGTATTACTCAATAGTACAATCATCTTGTATCTTGAATGTCTTGAAGATTAAATACTGGTCGCATTTTTAATTATAGCACAGCCGCTTTCAACATTTATGAAAGAATCTCCATTAGGTAGTCCATAGTGTCACAAAGTGATTATCTTAAAGTAATAAGTCTAAAGCATCCCAGTTATTTTTCCTGAATTACTGAATGAACCATCCAAAACATGTAGTAATACTATAAAGTCCCAAGATCCAGCGATAAAGGCAGTGAGTTTCTAATATCTTCAAGTTTCTAACAAGATTTGCCATGATAATTTTATTACTATAGCAGAACAGTTTTATTGTAATGAGGTAGTGCTAATAGTCCATATTTTGTTCCCAGGATTACTTTTTTTCTTGAATCTAGTCATAAAAAAGTTTGCTATATTGCAGGAAAGAGATTTTTTTTTTTATATTTTTACTGTCATGTTAAAATGACATGACAGTAAAAATGTCATATTTTATGCCTGTAATCCCAGCACTTTGGGAGGCCAAGGCAGGTGGATCACGAGGTCAAGAGATCGAGACCATCCTGGCCAACATGGTGAAACCCCGTCTCTACTAAAAATACAAAAAATTCAGCTGGGCATGGTGGCGTGTGCCTGTAATCCCAGCTACTCAGGAGGCTGAGGCAGGAGAATTGCCTGAACCCAGGAGACGGAGGTTGCGGTGAGCCGAGATCGCGCCATTGCACTCCAGCCTGGGCAACAAGAGCGAAACTCTGTCTCAAAAAAAAAAAAACGTCATATTTTAACATTAGATATGATGTTAAAATAGATGCCCCATATATGGTGAAGGCTTTATTCCTTAGAGCTTTGCTACACAATATGCAGCCTATAGAACAGCAGCATGTGCATCACCTGACAACTTGTTTGAAACACAGCATTTCAGGCCTTAACCTACACCAATTGAATCAGAACCTGCATTTTATCAGCATCTTCAGCTGATTTATGTAAAGATTAAACTGTGAGAAGCACTGCCTTCTAAGTGTACACCTTACATCTGGGGCAGATTCTTTCTGCCAATTTATTTATAAAAAGGCAGATAATAATTCCTCTTCAGAAGTTTTATCTTAGATATCCTTAATTACAAGCTATCATAAACACAATGTGACTCTTAAGTAATCACATATTGTTAGCTCTGATGAAAAATAAACACTACCCTTAGAGCACCTTAGCATTGTCTTTAATGGGGCTTTCATAGTAGGCATGGTTAGATTGTGATATGTGTTGCCTCCCTTTTCAGGTGCCCCTGCCCAACACCATTCCCCTCCCTAAGAGGGAGACTATACAACAGAGCTCCAGCCTAACTTCAGTTCCTCCCACTACGTTCAGCCTCACCTTCAAGGTATGTACAACATCCATCTCTAAGAGTCCTTAATTGTTACATGCAAGGGGACATGAGTTAACAATATTCGTGTGGTATTTTTACTAGATTTATGTGATAAGCAACAATACTAAACTGAGGAAATAGAGTTCTGTCAAATTATACCTTCAAGTTTTATTAGCTTCTGATACCACTAAGCGATTATGTGATATCCTCATATTTAAAGTGAGGCTTATTATGCTTGTGAAGTTTGCCTTAAAAATACAGGAGAGCATTTTTCCATGTTTGTGTTAAGTTCCTCCCAGAGATCTTAATAATTTTTGAATATATTGGTTTGTATACAGAAAATACAATCTTGCTATTCCATGTTTTTATGATTTGTTACCAAAATATTAAGTATTGATAATAGTAAGAATGTTAGTTGTCTTTCCTGTAAGTTATGTGTGAATTTAATGAACACAGTATGATCATTTTATGGGAATATACTTGACAAGTATGCTTTATAAATGATACCGGAAGATTTTCAGTTGATTTTTTTTTTTTTTTTTTTTTTTTTTGGATAATTAATAAGAGGACAAGAGATTTAGTGCTTTTTGATATCAAAATTTTTGGCTTTTTATATCTCCTATTGTAATTTTGAGCTATGTTAATGGTTTTTTATAGTTGTTTGAGAGCATTTTAAATCAGTTCAGTAGTTTAAAAAGTACAAACATGGAATTAAGGGAGGATTTTTTTTTTAATTTTTAAAAAATTATTTTTTAAATAGAGATGGGGTTTCACCAGGTTGCCCAGGTTGTTCTTGACCTCTGGGCTCCAGTGATCCACCTGCCTTGGCCTCCCAAAATATTGGGATTACAAGTGTGAACTACTGCACCTGACCAAGGGAAGATTTTTTTTTAAGTCTGTTTATCTCATTGGTGTTCTCTGTTCATAATCCAGTCAAGTTCTTAATCTCTGGTATAGTAGGGCTTCCTAATGTTTTACTGGTTGACAGTGGATCTCTTTGATGGTCTTCAGTAGGAGTCGCAGGAACATTGTTGTTTTACGGTGTGGCCAGTATTCATTTTGGACTCATATTACTTTTGTCCCCTTACCATTTCCCTCTCTGCCCAGCTTCTTTGTAAGAGGCTTAACAAATAGAAGTTTGAGATCATAAAATTTTATGACAACAGCTTCTGCTTTGTGTCATCCCTGTCTTTTCCCAGTCTTTACTATTTGCCACCAATTCCTGTTCAACCTTTTCTGTTGTCTTTCTGCTAGAATGACTGTCTCAATCTGTGTTTCTTACTTAGTCTGACTTACATGATATTTATTATTATACTAGCAAAGTAATAATCTAATTTCACATAAGCAAATATAATGTCTTTATTTTTAAGCCAGTATTTATTTCTTTAGAATACCTAGTCAACTTTGTCTTTCACTCATGTTTTTAACATTCCATGAAGAAATATATATATTTAGAATTAAATCAAATTACATTAGCTTAAAACCCACTCTGATTTCTTTTTACTTTCTCTGCCATCTCCTTTTTATTGGAGTAATATATAAAGCATAGAAAAGTTATATTATGCATTAAATTCTTACTTATTATCAGTGGGTTCCTCGAAACTGCAGCTTTAAGCAAAACAGTGTATGGTGGATCCGTAGAATAGCGTCATTTGGTTCAATGCCACTTTTTTCTAAAGTTTATGAGAAAAAAATATTGATTATACATTGTTGTGCCAAAAGTTACAGTTTCCAAGAACCTGTTGACAACATTAAGTTTACTCTGGACATCATTGACAAAATACGAAAAAATGAGTGTAGTTAAATAATTTGTACTTTTAGTTTCACTGAATTTCCAAAAATAAAAACTTTACATATCTGCTTAAGGAATGGAATCAAGTCAAACTTGTGGCCTGTATATATACGTGTGGCCTATGCATTATGTAAGTTTGATTACCTATAACTTAATAATTTATATTTTCTCAATAAAACTAAATTGGCATGAAAGACATTGTAGTCCGTCAACTTGTCCTAAACCACAAAATCTCAGGTGGTACAGGTAAATTACATTACAGCTTGCTTCCTAAATCCACCCCCAAGACTTTTATCTTAAAATAAAACACACTTGAAATCAACCAGGTGATTTTGAGGGAAAGAAAAGATTTTAAATTTTTCTCAAATATAAAAGTCTTCTATATTGTAAATATACAATGATAGCAATAGTCTTAAGAAAAGGCTAAATTATGAATAGTGTGCTTTTAAAGGAAGGCAGGGAAAATATGTACTATTTCATAAATTCTTCTAACCAAAATAAAATTTTAGAAATTGATACTTTAAGGACTCACAAAGTTCCTAACAGTGGTGTTAAAAATATTACTTGAGAAAGTTCCTCTCACATAAGTCATTGCAACTGTGGATCTTATAGATTATGTTGGATTTTAAGCTCAGTGTTTTGATTAATAGTGTTAAAAACTTCAAAGCCTATGTATGCATCTGTTCCCTTCTTGTTAAAGTAGCCTTAAGATATCTGAGGATCTACATGTAGCTCTTGAGTACTTGAAATGTGGCTAATCCAGATTAAGGTATACTTCAAGTGTAAAATAAAATATATACTGCATCTGAAATTTTAATATTTAAAACATTTATAAAATCTCAATTTTATGTTGATTAGTGTTTTAGTTACAATATTATAAATATTGGGTTGAATTAAATGTTATTAAATATATAATCTCTTTGTTTTTACTTTTTAAAATGTGGCTACTAGAAAATTTAAAATTACGTATTTGATTTGCATTTACATATATGTCTGTTGAAAACTTCTGAATGGTGCTGCTGTAGATTGAAATAAGGCCAATGTCTGCCGTATGAGAAAGTAGAAGAAGAAAATACAGCTAAAACCAGGGGCCATAAATGCAAATGGCTATGTCTAGTACATGAACTATTTGAGATCTGGATGTTAAACAAAAAGTGTTTCTATTGCACTCAAGCCTAAAACCTATCTTGTTACATTGCCTTTTAAAACACTGAGCATGAAGCAGCCAACCAAAAGATGCCTGCCATTTGCCATTGAAGAAGCATTGGAGGGCCGGGCGTAGTGGCTCACGCCTGTAATCCAAACACTTTGGAGGCCAAGGCGGGTGGATCACCTGAGGTCGGGAGTTCATGACCAGCCTGACCAACATGGTGAAACCCCATCTATTAAGGAGAGAAAAAAAAAAAAAAGCAGCAGCAGCAGCATTGAAGTACAAAGAAAAAATGGAGAGAATGGATATTTACTGAGGAGGGCCTTTTCTTATTCACTGGTAGGGACAGGGGCTCATGTTTAAATGATACAGGAGCTGTGACTTTACACATAACTTGTTTTCCAAAACCATCAACAAATTCTCTCTAGAAATGTAATTAAGCCCCATTCTCACACTCCCAATATGAATAATGGAACAAAGATAAGAGGCAAATGGAAAGTCAGAATCCCTAGGGTCTTAGATATTCTTTAAGTATTTTTTGTGTATTCGGTTTTTGAAAGGTTATATTTGGCACTTAAATACATGTATATACGTATGTATGTTCTATATTAACATCATTTGTTTTGCTATAAAAATGTCTGTTTTATTGCAGATGGAGTCTGCACGCAAGGCATGGGAGAATTCTCCAAATGTAAGGGAAAAGGGGTCTCCAGTAACTTCCACAGCACCTCCTATTGCAACTGGAGTCAGCAGTAGTACCAGTGGACCAAGCACTGCTAATTACAATTCGTTCTCAAGTGCATCCATGCCCCAAATTCCTGTTGCTTCAGTCACTCCCACGACATCATTATCAGGTAGAACTTTTTTGTATTGTTTCTTTAAACATCTTACATTATTTAAAATGTTTTATGATCTCTTGTTTACTATTCCTAGCCCTCCCCCAAAAAAAGTTGTATTTGGTCTTTCCACCTCACCCTCCCAAAATGCTGGGATTACAGGCATGAGCCACCACGCCTAGCCAGTAATTGCTTTTTAAAATGTCATTTTCCTCTAAGTTTTTCTAGGAAGTTCACCTTTTGATTGTCATGTTTTATGTATATACGACTAACTAAATCAACTCAAAAATAACACAGAATCACACCTCTTTTAAATGTTTTGCAATCAGTATCTATTTTGAGGGTGCTATTGGCCTAACCCTATTGAGGTAACGTTTTCTGGTGAAGAGTTAGGGATAGAGAATTTTCAGCCTCTGCTATTTGAGTAATGTAATCCATTGGATTTGGCTTTAGTTTGGTTTGCTTTGGTTTGTTTTTTTTTTTGTTTTTTAGGACAGTCCATCGGTGCCCAAAGTTAGAAGGTGCTTTTCTTGCTCTTTTTCCTTAGATTTTCTTATATTTTTACTAGTGTGCAGTCTTTTCATTCAACTGTCTCATTGTTTGGAGGCTTTACAGTTCTTAAAGAAACACAGATGTTTCCAAAATGCTTGACTCTAGAAAAGTGCGCTGTTTTCCTTTTACCATATGTAGAACCAAATTTCTTCTGCTGAAAAAAATAAAATTTCATTTCAAGCTTTCTCAGTACTATCTGTTTCCAAAGCAGTAGGAAGCTCCATTCCAGCGATATAAATTACTTTGTTTGACTGGTTCTCATTCAATATTGCTTTTCAATATTCCAGCCTACCATGCTATTTTTAGGTACTAAAAAGCTGGTCTTTGGGTTATACTACAGTTATTTTGATAATGTCTGTAATCAGAAGTATGTATTAACACAAACTCAAGATTCTACACTGCATTAAAATTTCAAATCAGACTGTATTCCAGCTATATATCTTTTCTCTTTAAAACCCTAGCATTCCTCCACCACTCATTTGCCAAGGCATCTTCACTTATGCTTACTAGACTAGCTTGAGCCCCAGTCCACTTTGGGATGGGGGCGGTTAGTGAAGGTGGTATAAAGGAAACAGGAGAGTGTGGTAGGAAGACCTGGAAGTAATGGTTTCCAGTTCTTTCTTTGGAACCCAACTAACCTGTTTCCCTAGGTGTAGATGTCCTCCACTGTGCTTGACTAGGATAATTTTTTTTTAACAGGGCCCTATTGCCTAGTCATCCAACTGGTAGATAATTAACTAGAAGGATAGAAGCACTTGAATTTTGGTCCACTCTCAGGTGGAACATCATCTAAAGATAAGGATAACTATATATTACTTTTTAATCAAATGCTAGTATTGACATTTTGGGCCAGTAATATAATAATCATAGCTCACTAATCAATAAAACTAATTGACCCTAACACCTAAGTTTTATAACTCTATTTACCTATTAAGTAGTTTATTTCATTTGTTTTAAAGTTATTACTATATGCCAAGTGGTTTTGTTCTGTTTTTGGTTTTTTGGTTAGTTGTTTTTAGGGTTGTATTTTCTTGTTTTTTGTTTTAAGAGATGGCATCTTGCTCTGTCACTCAGGCTGGAGCGCAGTGACGTCATCATGGTTTACTGCAGCCTCAAACAGCCTCATACTGCTCAAGCAGTCTTCCCATCTCAGCCTCCCATGTAGCTGGGACTATAGGCACCACAGTGCCCAGCTAATTTTTTAATTTTGTGTAGAGACAGGATCTTACAATGTTGCCCAGGCTGGTCTTGTACTTCTGGCCTCAACATGTGCCAGTTTTTGCAGGAGAGAGAAATCCAACCTTAGGTTGATGTGACATTTTAGGACCAATTGAGATCTCTCAAGGCCCATGTATATTCATAATTATTCCTAAGGTTTAGCACTTTTTCCTTTTGTGTTCTTATATCTGTGGTCATAATTGAATGAAGCTCTTGATTATATATCCTATTCTTCTTTGTGATGATAAAAACCAGATCATTTCTGGCTAAACTGTAACAGCCATGTAGGCTCTCAGCTTCATTTTATGAATTTTGTGTTTTGTTTCTTTCTAGTTTTAATTTTCTGTTGTTAATTTATTTCATATTTCCTAGTCATATTTGCATTTGGTGATAATTATTCTTTTCTTTTATAAGCCACCTCGTCTACTTTTGGCCTAAAGCAGTATATAAGTACGTGATGGGTATAAACATTAATTTTGCAGTTTCTGCTTGGTACTGTGAGCAATAGCAACACTTTTAAATATGTTCTATTTTCCCCTTTATTTGCTTCCCCAAATGTAGGAGCTGGTACATACACTACCTCTTCTTTGAGTACAAAATCTACAACCACATCGGACCCTCCAAATATTTGTAAAGTGAAACCTCAACAGTTACAGACAAGCAGCCTGCCTTCTGCAAGTCATTTTTCACAGTTAAGCTGTATGCCTTCCCTTATTGCCCAGCAACAACAGAGTCCACAAGTTTATGTGTCTCAGTCTGCAGCAGGTAATGTTTTTAGTCTTGAATATAAGGAATTTAGAAAATGAAGACTTGACTAAAATACTTATTTTTGTCTCTTCTTACCCTTTCAACTAAGCATAAGGCTCTTAAAGTACATTGCTATAAAATTTAAATTGGCTTTTTTTTTTTAAAAGATGGTGTCTGGCACAGTTGCCCAGGCTGGATTGCAGTGGTGCAGTCTCAGCTCACTGCAATCTCCACCTCCTGGCCTCAAGCAATCCCCTCACCTCAGCCTCCCAAGTAGCTGGGACCACAGGAGCACGGCACCACACCTGGCCAAAATTTTTTTTTTTTTTTTTTTTTTGCATTTTTGATAGAGATAGGGTTTAACCATGTTGCCCCAGGCTGGTCTCAAACTCCTGAGCTCAAGTGATCCTCTTGCCTCAGCCTCCCAAAGTGCTGGACATAGGCATGAGCCACCTCATCCAGCCTAAAATGGCATAATTCTTTTTAAAAGTATCTTGGAAAATGTAAGTGTACGTACATACTGTAATAACAGTTTCATAGCTAGGAATTTCATATGGATACACTTAACCTATTAGAGATTAAGTGAGGGTATTCATTGCAGTATTGTTTCTAATAGTGACAAGTTAAAAACAACCTATAGACTGGGCATGGTGGCTCACACCTATAATCCCAGCACTTTGAGAGGCCAAGGCAGAACGATTGCTTCAGCCTAGGAGTTCAAGACCAACCTGAGCAACATAGTAAGACCCCCAAAAATTTTAAAAATTAGATGGATGTGGTGGTGCATGCCTGTGGTCCCAGCTACTTGGGAGGCCGAGGTGAGAGAATCATTTGAGCCCAGGTGGTGATTTGTAATCATGCCACCTTACTCCAGCCTGGCAGAGCAAGGCCCTGTCTCATCATAATATGTGATATCCTGCAGAACATACTACTATATGAAAACAGCAAGTCAGCCAGGCACCGTGACTCATGACTGTAATCCCAGCACTTCGGGAGGCTGAGGCAGACAGATCACTTGAGGCCAGCATTTCAAGGCTCACCTGGCCAACATGGTGAAACCACATTCACCTGGCCAACATGGTGAAACCACATCTCTGCTAAAATAAAAAATAATAATAAAAAATAAAAAAAAAAAAAGTTGGGCTTGGTGGCACACACCCAACTACTCAGGTGGCTGAGGCACAAGCATCACTTGAACCTAGGAGGCAGAGGTTACAGTGAGCCGAGATCAGTCATGCTTAGAATTTATACCAAACTTCTAAAATGATTAAATGCCAATTCTCTAAATATTTTGCTAGATTCTAGTAGATAGGTTTAAAATTGGAGAAGAATTGCTGGTTCAGTGGGTAGATTCATTTTTAATTTTAGTAGATTATGTGAAATTTTGCCACTGGCAAAATCTGAGTGTCTGTACCCCATTGGCAGTATATGAAAGTGTTTTTTTTGTTTTTTGTTTTTTATTTTCATGCCTTCACAAGTGTTAGTGATATTTGTGTGTGCCTGCCTACTAGAAGTTTTCCATCTTTTCATATTTGCCTCTTTTAGTTTTTCCATGGTTGTATCAATTTTCAGGGGGTGCACTTAATTTGGAAACTGCTACCAAACTTGGCTTTTATTTACTGTTTGGAAAATTCTGAAATTAGGACACTTCTTACTGCTTGTTTTTCCTGATGGTCTGCAGCTCAAATCCCAGCCTTCTATATGGATACAAGTCATTTATTCAATACCCAACATGCACGATTGGCTCCACCATCCTTGGCTCAACAACAGGGTTTCCAACCAGGTCTCTCTCAGGTAATATCAAAGACTTCTTTCATCCTATATTTGTTCCTTCACATTTCTGTGATTGTAACAGTTATCTTGGAACATAAATAATAGACTCTGAAATTACAAGCTACACATGATTACCTTGATACTCTTTAAGCAAAATTTTAAAATTTTCCCAAATTTACCAAAGCCTAATATTAATAATGTAGAATAAGTTACTGGGTTGAAAGGGAAATTAAGATGTTTACATTCAGTTTTGTTTTATAATAGAGCTGATATATAGTATTAATCTTATTCTTTGCGTGTCTCAAATTTTTATATTCCAATATTAATGATTTGTCTGTATGATGTTGATATATAATATGTTTATATACTTTTTCATTACATTGCAGCCAACTTCAGTTCAGCAGATTCCAATCCCTATTTATGCACCACTGCAAGGGCAGCATCAAGCCCAACTGAGTTTGGGGGCTGGACCTGCTGTTTCCCAGGCTCAGGAATTATTCAGCTCTTCACTTCAACCATATAGGTAAATGCTTTAAAAATTATGTTTATAATGATATTGAAAACATTGTAACTGCTGATCCTCCTTGCCATAATTTGTACTGTTCCTTCCCCAACAAAACTAGGATGATTCTGTTATAAACTACATTGGCTAATTAAGCATGTTGATTATATGTCATGATCCTCAGCCTTTGGTAATTTCAGCCAGACTTTATTAAAGAAAGAAAGCCTTCAAAAACTCTTGAAGTAGTGGACAACAGCAGCCCTGTAACTGTTAGTAATCATAGAAAAATGCTGCTAAAGAACCTAAAAGTCTATGTGCCGTTTGGCTACCAACAACTATAAATCTGAATCTCCTCTATCTAAGAGCTGAGGCATGGCAGTTAACACTACATTATGTTAAGGGATGCAGGGCAGGGTAGAATATAACAGAATGGAGAGGAGTATAATATCAAAGCCTGGAAATAATGGTGATGAACATGTTGTGTAGTGAAGAAAGCATTTTTTTCCAAGAATTCACTCAGATGTTCTGTAAGCTATCTTGCAATTAGGGAAATAATGAAAACTGATTTTTATTGAACTTTCCTTATATAGGATAGCTATTCAGGCTTTCACATACATTAACTAAATTTAGTATTCACACAGCCTCCTAAGACATATGTGGATGTTAGGACTTGAAGAGGGTGAATTGTTTGTCCTGAGGTTCTACAGTAAGTGGCAGAACCCGGATGCAACCCTCAGTGTCTCTGGTTTCTGATTTAATGAGGGAAGAAGAGTGAGAGGAACAGTCAAATAACAGGAGCAGTGCATCATGGCATAGCTGTCATCCGTACTCATGATGGTGGCCTTAAATCATCAGAAAGAAAAATAAGTTACATTCAGGACACTTAGTTTAGTACCTAGCCTGTGCATTTGCTTTTAGGAATTTGTTTTCAGGTGTGGGTTCAGATAGAATTTCCATACTTTATAGACTAAACTTGTCATCAGTTAATATAGTATGTTTTATATTATCATAATGATACACCTAGGG